AAAAAAAAAAAAAAAAGAATTAACTGGCTGAAATGATATCTGCCCAAACGACACACTTCCATGTGTATATAAACAAATGTGCTGCCTGAGTGGCTCTCAGGATAAAGTGTCAAGTGGTTAATGAAAAGTAAATCAGAAGAAATCTTTTACAATCAAGATTTTAAGCTCAACAATCAATTAAATATTTATTTCTAAAATAAAGGATTTAAGTCTGCAAAATATAAATGTTAAATACTGATAAGCGTAATCACTGAAGTTTGAAAATATAAGTCTCAAACAACAAATGTAAGAGAACTATCAAAAATACACAAGGAAATGCCACTCCCACCCTACCATTAGCACATTCTCTTATGCACTGATTACTTTTTAACTAGTATTAATTACCTATATGTGTCATATTTTTCTCCCACCAACATACTGAGTAAATCTACATATTTGGGTGTGTCAACACTCCTGCATGTAGGAAACAGAATTCTGAAAAAAGTATTACACTGAAATTTGGTAATTTTAACATTATTATTAGTAGTAGTAGTAGAAGTAGTAGCAGTAGTAGTAACAGTAGTAGTAGTATTTCACTGATACTGGGGATTGAACCTACGGCCTTGCAAATGAGCTACAGCCCCAGCCTTTTATTTTCTATTCTGAGACAGGATGTTAGCAAATCACTGAACTGATAGGGCTGGGCCCCAACTTGAATTCTTCTGCCTCTGCTTCCCAGACTTATGGGAGTAGTTTTAATTTTACTTTCTAACATATGCTATTTAGGTATGCATACATATTATCCAATAAAGACTTGATGAAAAAATAGAAATCATTAATATTAAAAATTATTCTGACCTTCTACAACTGCATATACATTCCAGTGACAGGAAATTAAAAAATCAAATTTGATTTAATTTTATCCAAAGATAATACATAAGGATAGCAACTATACATTGCTAAATTATCCCCCATTCTCTACAAATGCAACAGACGCTACCTTTCTTCAACTTAAAATACAAAATTAGGTAAAACATATTCAGATGCATATAAAAGATTAAAACTTTAAAAACTACACTTATGGCCACGCGTGGTGGTGCACGCCTATAATTCCAGCATGCAGGAGGCTGAGGCAGGAGAACTGTTGCAAGTTTAAGACCAGCCTGGGTTATAAAGTGAGCTCAAGGCCAGCCTGAACTGCATAGAGAGACCCTGTCTCAAAAAGACAAAAAAATAAAAGAATAAAAAATAAATAAATAAAACTATACTTATGATAAGCAACTTTTCTAAGCAGGAAAGATATTTATTTAACACTTTTATATCCATATTAAAGCTGCACAGTCTAAAATCGCATATGCCTCTACTCATACATACACATGACATTTTGGAAATTAGATACTTACAGGTTGTAAGCCCATCCACATTGGAAGGGAGATAAGCTGTTGTACTTGACTTCGTATCAAGTCTACTTCCTGTTCAAGCATGAAGACAACAAGTTTATAAATACTCTAGCACTTCTACTAAAGTCTTTACATAGGTAACACACTGCATTTTTAAGTTTGGGGAGAAAACATGTCACCAATTCTTTCAAAGTGGTGGTATTTTAATATTTAAAAGTCAAATGCTTAAAAAAAAAGAAAGAAAAGACAGACACTTTTAGCTATTAGCAGATTTCACACTTGTGAATACTCCTACTCGCAAAAATGTAACTTGTATGACCAAAATGACTCTCTATAGTCACTCAGACAACTCGGAGAGCCAGAATGTTTGAGTCGCCTACTGTGTACCCTCCCAGCTAAAGCTGAGCTGGCGTTCCCTCACTTGTAGAAATCATAATACAAAAACGGGATGTGCTTCAAAGTACATTTCATGCATCTTTGTGCCTTCCGTTGATCATTTCACTGTTTATAAAGTGGACCCCACGAACAAGACTGAAATGCTACTACTGCTCCCTAAAATTCAGGAGACGTAAGACTCTGATGCGCCATACTGAGAAAATACTGTTGATAACTTACAGTCAGAATAGGAGTACTACAGGCAGTGAGATCAAGGTTAATGAATCCAAAAGATATATTAAAGAAGACTTCTTTAAACAGAAACACACATAAAATAACATAAAAATGCTATAACCACAGGCTTGTAGGAACTTTACACTTTATTTCTCCTAGCAGCTCTGCCTTGGTGTTACCTTATTCAGTATTCAGGGCTACTTTATAAAACAAACACGACTGCCTCAAAAAAGAGCACTGGCAACATACTGAAAAAGATAAAGCGTTTCTATAATGAACTAGGTTTTAAATTGGTTAAACCTGCCACCAAACTACTAATACTATACAAATTATACTTCATTTTTATTCAATTTCTGCTCTTAAAAAATTATGTCTCTATCGCTTTACTGAAAGGAACAGTTAATGATTAATTATTTAATCAATCTTGCATGTGTATATTTGTTATTCTGAGAAACCACTTTGAAGATATCAATATGTAATACAACAACCATTGTTAATTTCCTACCACTTTGTTTGTAACTCTATACTGCTTGTATTGTTCTTATGCTATTTTGTAAATGGATGTCTGTTTGTTAATGTTTTCCTTATTTTTAAAATAAATTTTAAAAAGTTATAAAAAAATTATGTGTATTTCTATACGCTCTGTTTAGTTTAATAAATTGTTAAACAGGTAATAGCAGTATTTGCTGGGGCATAAATGTTTTTTATGCCTTTACAAGATCCAAGTGAGACAATATATAGAAATGGACAAAAACTTTCCATCAATCAACATCCAAACAGAGATAAGAGAAAACTCCATACAAGGGCATTAGCAATTCTGAAGGACTTCATCTTAAGTAAGGATGCATGTCTTCAGACAAGAAACTCAAATGAAACATTAAATACTGAAAACATTTCATGTTTTTAGAAGATAATCTTACAAAGGATGAAAGTGTATCACACACAATCCAAGACTCTGTCAAAGATCAGCCACCACTGGCCTTAATCGTGCAACTCAAAATACAACTCTCCTGCTGACTTGCGAGCCTGAGCATGAAGCAAGACTAAGCAGTAATGAACCTGTATCCTGTGCAGGCTGTGGCAGATCGCATTAGTCAAACTTCATCATCACTAGACTCTGCCACTTTTTTGTTTTTGTGCTTTCCTTTAGTGCTTTAAACGCTCATCATTTTTCTTAGAGTCTAGATAAGAAAAAGGAGGGATCAAGTCCAACACTATTAAAACAGGGAATACAGCTTACAAAATGGCTCTACTGAGAAGTGGCTGAAGTCAGGCTTGTAGTATTAACCATCCTTATTTCCTACTAGTATGCAAGAAGAGATGGCCATGACAATAATCTCATCAAAACTCAATCTAAAATAATTTTAAAATTTGAAAATTTCCCCAAAACAAAGTAAAATTACCAAACTGTTGAAGCAATGATCAAGAAAAAGCAGCAGGACTGTCTGTTCATGGAGGGAAAATTCACCATCAGTTTCAGCTAGTGCTGCTGTTAGGATACACTTAAAAAAGAATGGGAAGTGGTCTGGCTTCTTCTTAAAAGTCTGAAAATAAAAGAGAAAAATTCATTTTGAACTAGTTTGCTCACTTACTTTTCCTCCTTAAAAGAATATCCGTAAGTTTTTTAGGAATCTATTAGCAAAAATACAAAAAGATTACTTGCATACATATAAAAGGACTATCCATATGCTCATTAAACTTGCAGGTAGCAAGTCAAGTAGAGATTTCTGACAGGACTATGAGAAATTCGCAGAAATCTTTTAGCTAGAATCATGGCTGTAACTGCATTAGCTTTTCTTTTGCAGATTATGCATGTATTCTTATTAAAGATCTGAAATATTTTAATTCCTGACAAAGGAAACTACATCTTTAGCAAAAATTACACTTTTCACACTGTAATTAAGTTCAGGGACAGCTTTTTCTGCTTTAGATTAGTTCTTTACTTATAACAAGCAAATAATAGAAATACACATGTCTAAGCCTCTTGATCTATTTTTCCCTCCTCTCTTCTCCAATTGTGAAATGCTCCAAATGTGTGGTCTACACTAATTATCTCCATCCCCTTCTCTAAACCAAGCCTCTACCTACCACTCCCCTAACTCTGCGATGGTTGTGGAGTGCAAACGATCCTTATCAGCCCTCAAGTCCTTCTCACTGTACTGAAGGCTCCACTTTATTACTTAAATGGCACTGTTCCTAGAGTTCTACTCTCATTCTTCTTCTCACTTCACATTACTTGAAAAACCATTTGCCAATTATTTCAAATATATTTCTCCAGTCCACATTTTCCCTTTTGCTCTAGATCCTATGATTTCTCTATTAGGCACTATTGTCTAAATATTTGTGATGGTTAATCTTAACTCAATTTGATTAGCATGAGAGATGCCCAGGACATTAGTAAAGCACACTTCTCACTATGTCCTGGGGCCAAGATGTTGGGAATTGTACCTATATCTGATCCCTGGCTCCTTTTTCACTGGTGCACTGCTTCCTGGCTTCCACAATGTGTGCAGCTTGGTTCCACTATGCCCTTCCACCAAGATGCTCCTGCCTCAAGGCCTGCTGACCGTGAACCTCTGAAAATGTGAAGTAAAATAAACTTCTCCTTTAAGTTGCTGGGTGTCACGCACTTTGTCGCAGCAACAGGAAAGCTGACCAATATAGAAAACTGATAACCAGAAAAGTTGCCGTGACATACAAGACCATGTGGTTCTGAAGACTTTGGAACTGGTCTGCAGAAAAATTTAAAAAGGACTGCAAATGTGGGCTAAAGAAGCCACAGAATATCATAGGCAAAAACTGATCAGTGATTCTTGTCAGAACTCAGAAGACCAAAATGCTGACAGAAATGTGGACCATAAAGGCCACGCTCACGAGGTTTCATAGATGAGCATTAAGACACAATAGAAAATTGGACTAGAAACCATTTGTGTTACATTCTAGCAAAGAATTTGTCTGTGTCTTGTCTATGCCCTAAGACTTCTGAGTAAAGCTGAGTTTATGTACAATGCACTTACTGATCTGGCAGAGGAAATATCAAGGCAGCCCAATATTCAAGTTGTGGAATGAGTACTGGTGACTGCCATTAGCCAGATTTCTAGTTGAAAATCAGGAACAAAAAGCAAATCAGAAAATTTTGAAAAAAATTAGGCCTGAAAGACACCACACGTAAAAGTTGGACCAAAGGAGGTATGGTTGTTGATGACATTAATGCAGCTAGAAAAGAATCAAGTACACTAGATGAGGACAAGAAGGCATCTTGAAGGTATCACAGGAACCAGCACGACCCTACTGCAGGCCCAGGGGTGCAAAATGGTAAACCTTCCATGTGAGAAGAGAGCACTGGACCTTGATAAGGTCCACCTAGGGAACTGGTTCCTCAGGATTCATTTCACCATGCTCAGCCATCAATCATTCCCTTAGATCATAAGTTCTGGCTACTGCTCAGGCTGGAAGTAAACTCTGGCAATATTACATGCCACTAAGCTTACAGGTATACAGAATGCAAAAGTTTTAGAGTCCTGGAGGCTTCTACTCAGATTTCAAAAGAAGGCCCAGAAGACCAGGCAAAAATGTGTGACAGGGTCAGGCTCCCTGTCAGAAGCCCCTGAGAGAATAGAGCAGGAAACTAAAAGAGTGAGATCAAGGCTTCAATGGAGACCCAACTTACTTTGAAATACCAGGAACATGGAATTTCCACCAAGGAAAGCAGGAGGCTGCAAGTGAAGTCAGCCCAAGAAAGGCTGTATGGGCTGCAACCAGTAAGGCGACAGGGTTCAGGTCACAGATTCTACACATGGAACTACAGGACAAATGTTTTCCCTGTTGAGTTTTAGTTCTGCTTTGATCCTATTCTTTTCTACCTCCATTCCTCCCTTTTAGAATGGGCATGTTTGCCATATGCCAGTAATAGTGAATCTTTTAGCAACAAGTGCCTAAACTGCAACCCAAAGTCCACTTATTTATTCCAAAGTGCCAACACTGCAATTAAATCTGAATACAGAGATTTTAGTTTAGAAAAAATAACTCATACATTAACATTTTAAAAGAAAAATAACACGTGTCAGTTTCACCTCCACTGCCCTGTGCTGTTGTATCTGGGAAGCATGTAACTTGCTTTTAAAATTATACAGTGGTTCACAGATAAAGAGTTTGCCTTCAGTCTCAGAAGTCTTAGTTACCCTGTTTGCCTTGAGTCTCAGTTTTATCATGTTAGGCTCAATTACTATTGCCTTTACCTGGAGATTAAGTATGGTTTAAGATGTATTTCTGTGTGAGGTTGACAAAGGGTAGAATGGCATCTTGTCAACTTGACTGGCTTGAGATACACATGCTTAGTGAAGCACACTTCTGGGTGTGTCTAGATGGGTAATGGGAGCATAACCTTGGGGACAATGTCAAGCCCATGGCCCCTTCCTCTCTAGCGCTCTTCCTCTGCTCTCTGCATTCTCACCACCATGAAGTGAATAAGTTTGCTCTACCACACCCTTCTGTCATGATGTTCTACCCCAATTCAAACCCACAACAAGCAAATCTTGGACTGAAACCTCTGAAACAATGAGTCAAATACACCATTTCTTTCTTCAAGTTGTGTACATTGGACATTTTGTCCCAGCACCAGGAAAGCTATCAATAAAGTATTACAAAGGCAACTTAAACTCAACGTCCTAAACTCCATTTCACAGTTTTGGACCTTCCAAGGTATTTCTCAGTCCTTTCTTCCTATCTTGGTAAATGGCACCCTTATCTTCTTATATACAGTAACTCAAGTTTCATTGGTTATTGAGAAACAACACTCTTTTCTTCAACTAACTTCTATGTTACTTCAATTAAAGAACCTAAACAATTCTGTTTTCTAAAAGTTATGGCTCATCTGACTCTGTACAGTAATGCACCCCTTACCCACAATTTCACTTTCTGCAATTATAGCTGTCTCTGCTCAATTGCAGTTTGAAAATATGAAATAGAAAATTCCAGAAATAAACAACTCTGAAGTTTTAAATTATACACTGTTCTGAGTAGTGTGATGGTCTTGCTCTGTCTTGCCTGAGATGTGAATCATTCCTTTCTCCAGCATATCCACTCTATATATTCTCTGTCCATGAATCAAACGGCCCACTAAGTTAGCAGCTTGACAACTGTGGCATGAAAATGCTTATATTCAAGTAAATTTTAATGGAACTTCACCATGGCCCTAAAGCATAACAGCAGTGATGCTGGCAATTTTAGTCTGCACATTGTTATAATTCTATAATACAACCACTGCTGTCAATCTCTTATCATACCTAATTTATAAAATGCACTTTATTATATGTAGGAAAAAATATATACAGGGTTCAGTACCATCCTAGGTTTCGGGTACCTACTGGGGGCCTTGGAATGTATCCCCTTTAGATAAGGGGGGCTTCTGTAGTCATTTCTCTACTTCAAACCCTAATGACTAATGTGGTCCATATGAACTGCTCGAGTTACCTGGCTCAAAAAAGTTTCCCTTTCCCCTTCTATACTAGCTTAAAGCAATTCCAAGAAATCCCTAGGAGCTCTTATAAGACATAAGACCCATCCTTTACTCTGAGCTCTAATGTGGTTTAAGATTCCTATAGTGACTCAATGAATATTTGAGAGAACATCTACGATTTATCTTAAAGACTCTAAACTTTATGTCAAACGCCTTCTCACTTTAGAGATCACTTCCTTCAAGTAGATGTGAAGTACATTTGCCTTTTGTTCATTCAAAAAAGTATGACTAGAAGGGAAGGAACTGAACATTTTATGGTAGCCAAGGAAAACTTACATTTTGGACCTACACTGAAAAATCCTCCGTTGAGTCACCACAAAAAGAAACTGTCAGTTCATTAGAAATTTCAAAAAGGAAAAATAGGGATCTCAAATTGGGGAAAAAGGAAAACTGAAATTAGAACATAAACATGCCTTGACTCTTGAACGTTACCTGTGTGCATTTTGCCCATTCCTAATGTCTTCATAATCCATGCCATTCTTTGTTTCAAGAACAAAGGAAATAACTCCCCATTCATCATTTTTCTATTTGTAATAAATTAGTTGGAAGAAATTGTCACAATAAAAAAAATTATCTTTCAAATATCCGTATTTTTCTTAGTAGTTTACAATTGGGTAATGCTCTCCTCTAATATATTATCAGTAAAAAGTTCTGCTACTTTCTGATGGCTTAAATATGAAAGCTAAAAAATAAATGAAATGTTACCTCCCATGCAGGGACATTTTCTCTGAACTTCTCATTCACCATACAGCAGATGGACATTAAATAAGCCTTGCTGGACATCTCCGGAGAATAATTCATCCAGAGATAATTTTCAAGATACTGACTGTAAAGAGTAAAAAGGCACAGATTATTTTATTAATTACCACCACTGTGTCACTCACCTAGAAAAATGTAATTATTTACAACCTGCTGAAAACATTTTGAAAACTATGTTCACAAAAATATACCTGCAATGTAGGTCAATGGTACTTGCCACAGATTTGTATTACGAAAATATGGCTTAGAAGCATGACAGTCTATACTAAAAATGAGAAGATAACAAAAGTTATCAACACAAGTGATGAACATCATCAGACCACTGCATATTCCCTTATCTAAGAATCTCAGAAAGTAAAATACAAAAATATCTGACAAATATCATTCAAACAAAATGATATGAGGGATACTTTCACAAATAAATATGTCTAGACATCAGCACCAACTTCTACCAGGATAAAATGACTTACAGAAACAAAAAAGAAAATAAAAAGAGAGTCTGTAATACTTTATTTACAAAGTATTCTACAAAAGTCAGTTTTTAAGGTGATTAGAACTTTCTTCTCCAGATGCCAAAACTCCTGTCTAACGATGCATGGAAATATTCCCATACAAATTTAAGTAATTCTCATTTCCAAAAAATAAGTTTCTTATCCTTCAAAGTTTATAAACATCAATTACTATATTGGGGGGCTGGGGATTTAGCTCAGTGGCAAAAAGCGCCTGCCTGGCAAGCGCAAGGTCATGAGTTCGGTTCCCGGTACCGGAAAAAAACCAAAAAAAAAAAAATTACTATATTGGGCTATAAAATGCTGTCAAGCAGTAACTAAAAAGAAAAGCAGGATTTTTTGCTCCTGCTTTAAATTACTATAGTATATAATATTCAAACACATGCAAACCGGTAAGATTTTAAGGTTCCGTTACAGTAATATAGTTTCTCAGTTCCCTATCATGCTTCACAAGTTTAGTCACACTTATATTTCCAAGGATTTAGCAATCCTTTTGGGTTAACCGCAATAACCTAGGAAACTAAATAATAAGATTTCACCTAAAATAATGGTTGAAAGAATGTAAGTAAGAGACTAAAGTGCTATTTGTAAGTAAAGTATCATTTCATTCCTTTCTTACAAGTTTAAATTCTTTTTTCCTCATTGATGTTATTTAGAACTTTTGTTAGTAATAATGTACTGTTATTTGTTTGGCAGTCACTTCACGACAGTTTACTGGGTATAGAATTCTAGATGGGTGATAACTTTAAATATAAGATCCATTATCTTCTATATTAATATGATTGGGAAGTCTACAATAAATCTGTTTGTCCTTCCGCTATAAATGTCCTTCCTCTCTAGCAGATTTGAAGATCCTCATTCTATATCTGTTGCTTTAGTGCTCTGTTTATGATTAGCTATATTTCTGAAATTTAAAGGACTCATGTGGTTCATCAATTTTAGATGATCACCTCTTCCAGACTGCTACTTTCCCATTCTTTCTAAATCCATTATGAAACGCCTAATACACATCCCCATCCTAGTCTCTTTATCTCCTACTTTCTTATTTTTACCATTATTTTTCTTTGCTATTTTCTAGTGAATCTTCTCAGATCTAATTTCCAATTCACTAATTTCTTCTTTAGCTATTAATGACTACAATTTTATTTGCCGATTGAGTTTTTAAATTTCAGTGATTTTTAACTGCCAATTCTTCCTGCAAGTCTGACTATTTTTAGTCTTGTTTCTTGATTATTTACTTTATTTTTCTTTTATACCCACAATAATTTTAAAAATAATGACTTTATAGTATGAATCAAGTATGTAATTATTTGAACTTCTTTGGGAGGAGGAAGATCTAATTCTGTCTTTTGCTGTTCACTCTGGCTTAGCCTAATTTGCTTTGTAATTTGGAAACGTTAACTCATCTTTACCAGAGTTTCCAGCTCTACCAATTACTTTACTACCTTCAGCACAGTACTTTACCTCTCTGATCTTATCTTCTTCCAGTAAATGAAGATGATACTTACTTTGTAGGGTTGCTATGAGCACTAGGAAAATAAAATGTTTAATAATATTCTCAATAATATGAGTGTTATGAATAGTAAACATTGCTGTCATCAACAATACTGTTTTTTATTTTCAGCACACTGGACCTTCATGATACAAAAGTGGTATATTTCCTTTTATCTGAAATGTTTAGGTTACCAGTGGCTAGTGTGGAACGATGCTGCCTTAGTAACAACATTTTAGCTTAGCAAAAGAAAAAAACGGCTGTAGAATATACCTCAATCTATTTCTACCAGATCACTACAGAAACCAAACAAGACAAATTACTCCACACATATTACTCTGTGAGAAACAACTCAAAATATGGTACAAGTTTGCTTGACAAGAGAACTTCTTTAAAAACAAAAGATATATACACATATCCAAAATAAGGCCATCATACATCTGTAAATCTTCACTGATTTAGAATTATTTTCTTTTTGTTGTTGTTTGTTGCTTTGGTGCAAGGGACTGAACCTAAGGCCTTGCCCATGCTAAATACATGCTGTACCACTGATCTACATACACTCTCAAGCCGTAGAACTATTTTCTTAACCACTTTTAGAAACATACAAAAAAAATGTAGACAAAACTTAAATCACATTTCACCTTTATCTCCATCAAAGCAGTGCCTTTTAACTTACCTAAATTCCAACAGCATTATCTTTCTGATGGCAAACCTAAAAACACAAAAACAAATAATGAACATTAAAAAAAATAGAAAACATAAACATTACAGAGTTTTTAATGCAAGTTTATTCATAATCTTTTGAAAATTAAGTGACATCAGATTAAGTAATCTGAGATCACAACTGCCGAAAGTTAGCCTATATCTACTTCCAAAGTACTAACAAATATGCTTTAACTTCATAGGCATATCTATGTCACAAATGTGAAAGATGTTTCACATATTTCATCATCTTGACAGTGAATCTAAATTACTGAAGAATTTTTTGCAGGAAATGTCAGATATTTCTCTTTATCATAGTCTTTTTATAACAGAAGTACCTTGTTTTATATGACTAAATAATGCTATAGTCATGGGGCACCTCTCCAAAGCCTTGTTCAAATGGCCACTAATTTAGTTTCACCATTTTCTAATATTGGAAATAAAGTAGTTGGGCAGACACTGCTACAGATAATAGTTTCCAGCTTTGGAAATTAAATATATATGAATTATGAATTTATAATATGCCAAGAGGCTATAATCTTGTCAAAATCCTAGTTCACAAATTTCTGATCTTTTAGTATGACTGAGCAAGCAACTTTACAGAATTTTACTAAGAATGAAGGCCTTTACACAAAAGCACAAAGATAGAAGAGTAGCTATGACACCTTGTTGGTACACCTCAGATCCCCAGTTCCAATAGAGGTACACATGTAAGACATAAGATGTAACTGCTCACCTAGGCACCACACATCACATTAGAACTTCAAAGGTACTTATGAAAGTTATAATAATAACAAATACAATTTGTTTGATTGTCAAGTTACCTATATTTTCTAAGGGTGCACATTGTATCTAACACTGTCAAAAACTTAGTGTGCATTTCATTAAATCCTTCCAAAGTTGGACAATTAACATAGAACAAACTAGTTACTTAATTATTAGTAACTTCATTAAATCTAATTAAGATAAGGAAGGGGGACATGCAAAGGAACTCCCCACTGCTGCTGTAGTTATCCTGCGTTGTGTCTTCGGACACCACTGCATGAAAACATGGAGGCTGGAGCATAGTGGCCTCCTTGCAACCCAGAGGAAAAGCCAAAAAGCAACTACATGAAGACAAAGACAAAGGCCCGGATATTTTGAACTTCTGAACTATCTACTTCAGAACTGTTAAATGAATAAGAAATAAATATAATAGTGGACAAAAGAAGTCAGCCGTAGGAATATGTCTTTATATTCTTCCATTTACTTCAAGTTCAAAATAAAGCAAAAACTAGTGTTCAATTTTCATACATGCAAAGGAACAAGTAGGGGACTTTTAGGATTTATTTCTTTTAGGATACTGACTACAGTTATGATTTTTCTTTTTTAACCTAAGTGGTTCTTATAAATTAGAATTCACATGAATATATATTTGTTTTATGGCATTTTTGGTATTATATTTCATAATGAAAAGGTCTACACATTTCAAATAAATACTGGCAAAAGTAAACTGCTCTATAAATTACTTTTTTAAAGCATAAAAACCACTTGGCTAGATTCATAAAAGTACTAATAATCATTCTCAAGTGTGTGACTTGAGAGACTTCTGGGGCAATGGACTATGTCTTACTATTTAAGAACAGAGTATTGCGTAAGAGCCAGGGAAGCAGAGTTTAGCACCTGACTGCGCCTCCAACTATGGGGAAACATCTTGGGCAAGTTATCTGACCTCTGTGTACCTCAGCGGCCTCATCCTCAAGGTAAACAATAGTTACAGTCGTATAGTTACTGTGGAGATGGATGAGCTACAACATACAAGGTGCCTAAGAGAAAGTGGCTCAGAGAAAGCACTGAGGTAACAATTCTTATTTTTTAATATTTTAAAGCCCAAGTCGGATAAAAATACATGAAGACTGCTTGCTGAATCTAACAAAGGAAAGAACAGCAAAAATGACATCAATTTTGTAATATACCACACACTGGTTGACTGGATAAAAATATCTCTTAGCAATGATCTAATTTTAAGATCATAAAAGTAAAATTATTACATAATTACTAAGAACTGATTAATTTATTTCCCTTCTGGAAAATAGGGTTGATTTGCAAAAACTGAACACTGTACCTTAATGCATAATAATGTAAGTTTACTAAATGTTAAGCTATAAATTGCTTATTTTGATAGTCAACTAACAGGTTAATAAATATTACATGAAGCTATATAGCTCAACAAATAATTTCCTCAGGCACTAGTGTAAAACATTCATATTTCAATTTTTAAATGCATACTCCAATTTATGTGTTACAGAAATAGTTTTATTCAAAAAAGTGTACAAGATGAGAAATTGGCTTTTCTAAGTATTGCAGTAGATCTTTTTGAGTCCCACCAATGACAGTTAAACAAAAAAAATTAACAATGCAGCCCAGTTTCTCCTTCCTCTCTCTTTTTCTCTGTCTCTCTCTCTGTCTCTCTCTCTCTCTCTGATAGAAGATACAGATACACTGACATAATGTAATCTATAGAGTGGATGTATATGACTCTTTAAAAATCTTTGGGCACTTTTAGTTATTTTGTAACAGAACTTATCTTTGAAGAGAAATACTGGTAGAAAGAATTTACATGGAAGATAACTAAACTAAAACAAACATAGTATTACTATCACTAGTGCAAAAACCTTCTCTGAAGATTCACAATAATTTACAGATTGATATTCCCTTAATAAAGAAAAAAAGATCCCAGACATTCCCTACACACCGCATTTATCTATATATCTGTATCTATCTTCTATCACAGAGAAAGGATCCTAGACTTTACCTATCTATGTACCTTTAGTCAAATTTCCTCAGGCAAGTTTATGCACACCCATCCCCAGACAGTTATTTTATATATCTGCTCAAATTTCGTATCTTTAGAGAAAGTTTGTCTGATTACTCTATTTAAAGTAGCAGCCTTTGGTACTATCCCCCAGCTACCTTTAAACCATGGCATTTAGTGTATCCTGCATTGTATCATAGCTACACATTTTGTATAGGTCTCCCCTACTACAATGAAAGGCCCAAGAGTGACACGACTTTATCCAGCCGGTTTACTGTTTTACTTCTGGCATTGAAATGATGGCTGATTCACAGGAGGCTCAGCCCACTCTTCCCTGAGCCGTATACCTGAAGACCCAACTACTTATTCTAATTTCCATCTGTATGGCTCTTAAGTAACGAGAATTTAACATACTCAAAACTGAACCAATGATGTACACCTAATCCTATCCCCAACAATGGTAAAGGTCAATAATGGCACTGTTAATCACCTAGCAACTTAAGCAAAACATTCTGGGGTCATCCTTGATTCTCCCACTTTCTTTACCCACTGAATCTAAACACACAGTCTCTTTATATATACCTTTCTCAAACTAGCAAATCTTCTCCTTCCTAATTTAGCACAGAAGTCTGAGCCACCATCATCTTGATCTGACAGTCCTGTAACACCTATCTAATCTCCGACCTCTTGCCCCCTCCAAACCCAAATTCTCTTTATCAAATGTCAGCACTGTCCTTAAAGCTCTTCTCTGGTTTCCTATTGCTTTTCAAATAAAAAACGAAATTCTTACCATAGCTTTGATCCTGCCTATCACAAGCTCATGAATCAACCATTAAAACACAATAAAACAAGCCTCCTATTCTGACACTGTCCTAAGTTTGCCTTCACCATACTTAGCAAAATTTACTTAAGATTCAAATAAATGAAAAGTATCAAGTACAAGATTTAATGAAATGTGTAACATTTATAATGTTTCCATTTCATATTAAAATACTTAGTCAAGGCCAGGGATATAGCTCAGTGGCACAAGCACCTGCCTGGCAAGACCAAGGTCCTGAGTTCAATTCCTGGTACCAAAAAAAATAAATAAAATAAAATAAAATATTTAGTCAAAGCTAACTTTTTAAAACACTTGCTGGCTTTTTAAAATAAGCATCAAGCCTGCCAGCCTCAATCAGAGATGGCCACAAAGAACACGGACAGCGGGGCTGGGGATTTAGCTCAGCGGCAAAGGGCCTGCCTGGCAAGCGCAAGGTCGTGAGTTCGGTTCCCGGTACCAGAGAAAAACCAAAAAAAACAAAAACAAAAACAAACAAAGAACACGGACAGCAACATATCTGTGTTCATCGTGGATGTAGGGGCAAAAAGCACCAGATGATGCCACAAAACGGGGAATATCTGAAATGAATCCAGCTAGTTTCTTCTAAATATATAGTATTTTTCTCCATTAAAAAAACTCACCAGGATATATACCTACATGTGAATATATAGAACAAAGCTCAAGATATGCTATTAAATCAAAAATTAAAAAAAAAAGAGAAAACAGCACACAAAGTATAAACCCTTTTGTGTTAGGAGGGGCACAGAACAGAAAAGATATCCAGATAAATAAACTGGGGACTAAAGAACAGGGAAGATTTAATTTATGCCATATATTGTTCAGAAATAATTTCAATTATTTATTTGATTTTTAAGTTATATACTTTATGTATTATGTACATATTTTGAATAATGTTTTACTTTTATAATTTTAATTTTTATAAGAATTACCAGAAATGATCAGATAATCAGTATAACTGAGACGGAAATAAAATTTCTATGCTTACTTTCCCTCACATTTTTCAAAAAAAGAAATAAACTCTATGGGGTTTAGTCCCTCTAATCTGAGCCAAAATCAAGCACAACCAAATTATGACTCTAGCACCTATTTATAACCTTTTTTCTAGCCACCACTATCTCATTGAGCAATACAAAAGAAAAAAAGGCTTCAAGTTATGACTACTGTCAGAAGCTCTGATGAGCTCCAACTTGGCCTACCATTAATCTCAATGTATAAAAATTAAACTCATTCCTACCTTGATTTGACAATTTCTTTCTCATATATCTCTTCAATCACCTGTGAGCAAAAAGACAAAAATGTTTAATCTCTCAAACAACCTTTTTCCAAGACCTAAAGTGATAGTTTTCAATTACTGAAATCATATATAACACAGTGGTTTAGGACAGCTGTCAAATATTACTATTATTGAAATAACACTTCATAGATTTTTAAAAATAATCATACATGCAAAAAGTAAAGTAGAAGAAAAAGACCAATAATATACCTATGTAAAAGCAGAGCCCTAGAATACTCACAAAAATCATGTGTTATATTTCTAGGGAAAATAAAAATTCACAAGAACATGATATTTTTTAAAAACTTAAAAGTATGTAAGTGCTTTCAGTTTCCCTTTAGAGTCATAGTAACAGGCTTTCAAGTCAGACAGACAGTAACTTAAAAGTATGAAGACCGTAAGTTCCACTACTCATATGAAAATGATAAAGCTGAGACATTCATTCACTTGCGTTAGACTGGACAAAATGCAGACTCTCGAGTTGAAAGCCTGATTCAAACTATTCACCAGCACTGGTGATGTACGTGATCCTGGGGTAAGTGCCTGACTCCCTCACCAGCTTCCTTACCCATGCAAAGGATCCAAAAATACAAAATACCACACAGGGTTGCTACAAGTAAGACAGGGTATATCAAGAATTAGCACAAACCCCGGCACATGATGAACCTTCAACAGTCACCAGATAGATTCACCTAGAATTATGTAGTATTTCATCTGGATGAGCTGAATTTCTAAAATTATTAATATAATTAGGTTCAACTCCCTCTAGTAACATCAGCATATTTCTGTTATTTTATTACAGGATCAAAGGCAGGATCAAAGCTATTACTCTAAGGACCCTTGGCCTCAACATATACAAACACAAAACATATACAAATATCATATATTAATAGTAAATATATGCTAAGAATTAACAGTAATGATATGCCATTTTTATGAATACCATCCTCATGAATGAAACAGAATTACAGGTAAAACAAAAACATATTTATAAATGAAACACTTAAGTATCGCGTAAGAAATTTTAAATTAGTTCAATTTTACCTGGGGTGTCTAAAACAACAAAATTCAGTTTACAGTGGCATAGTTTAAAGTTTCAATCTTCTCATTTAACGGTATGCAGTATCAATACCCTACTTCATATAAAAGTCGCTTTCGGAGGTGTTATTCCAATGAAAACAATTACACATGAGCATGATGGCGCACGCCTGTAATTCCAGCACTTGGGAGGCTGAGGCAAGAGGATCACATCCTGGGCTAGTGAGGTGAAGGCCAGCCTTAACTACAAAGCAAGATCGCATCTCAAAAATACAAATAAATGAATAAATAAAAATAAACTAAAACGTAACCATACATTTAAGAATTTTTCTTTTCATCTGTATTAAACTGTTTCAATTAGACCATAAGGCCATTCCTTTATTTAATATTACTGGTCCTTAGGCATCTATTCTTCTATACCAGACAACTCTTCTACCATTATTACAGACTTTCACCTCACTCGAATTAAAAATAAAAGTAACCAATTCTATCCTAAAAGACCTGACAAAAAATTGTATGAAAATTTCTGTATATTTACAAAGATATTCACTACGTGGTAATTTACTGTAATAACGAATTTTAATAATCTAGGAACCTAGAAAGATTACATAAATTATATATATACATTTTTAAAAAGCTTAAGACAATTATGCAAGCTATATCTGGATAGTGATTCTTATTCTTTTACTTGTAACTTTAATTAGTTTGATAATCAAAATCTGTCATAAATTTTTTTAAAAATTATGGAATGTTTGTTGAATTAATCCTTAAAAGAGATACAAGAAACATAATTATTCACAAAGTACGTTGTAAACCAAAAATACTTACCTTTATATCAAAAGGAGATTTTTTCTTGATGTGAGGAGCCCAGTATTTACATGCTAACTGTAAAAGTAAACAGTATAAGCAGTAAGTTACAGATTCACACCACCACAGAGCTAGAAGACTCAGATCACTTTGCAAAGAGCTGTTTCTTAATAAGGTGGTTACTAGTATAGGGCGACAGAGAAAATCTAAATGGTCTATGCTAGCAGGGGCTACTTAGATCCTCGGCCTCAATCCATAAAAGTGTCAGTGGGGCTGTGCACCAAACTTGCCACTGTGATTCAAAAAATAAAACAAATGAACAAAAAAATCTTTCCAACAATCTCTAGGTTAATGATACAGCCCAGCAGATAATCACAAAATCAAATGTCTTCAGCACAGCAGTAAGGATATACAGGCCTAGATCCAGATACACAAAATCTTTAAAATAGTGTAGTCTATGAACTGATTATTACAGAGAATACTGGAACTGCCATAGCAATTCAGCCTCACCTATAAATTTAAATATGTACACTGGGGATACAGCTCTGTGGCATAGCGCCTGCCTGGCAAGCGCAAGGTCCTGAGTTCAATTTCCGGTACTAAAATAGGAAAATACACACACACACACACACACACACACACGCACACATAATCTCCCCAGATATTTACATGGATTGTTTAACAGTCAAGAAACATTTTTACTGATTTTTTAAAAAACTAAATTACAATCTTTTTAAAAATAGACAACACTGGCAAACACAAGTTATTTATATATTTATAAAAAGGTGACTCGACACAGTGTCTGCCTGCCATATTGGAGGCACTCAAACAATGTTGGAGGAAGGAAAAACACATGGATAAAGGATGGAGAACTGAAGTAAAATCTGAAACGTCTCTGCTTCTCTGAAGTCTTCCTCAACCATATTCCATAATGATAATTGCTTCTTCCTTCTCTTCATTTTGCATTACAGCCTTATATTTCTGTGTTATAATTATCTGAATGTTTACTTGTCTTTCTTCCTTAACTAAAAGGAACATTTAAGAAATGAGGCCTGTATCTTCTTTACTTGTACAGCTAAGCTCCTAACACAGTCAACTGCTGAGTGATTAAAGAGCCCCTCCAATAGTTAAGACACTGGTCCTCAGGAGAAGCCTCTAAAAAGGTGCCCACTTACATGACACTTTCCCACACTCAGCAAACACTTCACCCAATATTTATTGGGCACCTCACCCCCATTTACTCTATGGAATCCTCACTTCCTTATGCTGCTCCTTCAAGGCCTCACGTACTCAGCCATCTTCTCCTCACATGACACCTCCAAGAGAACTAAGTCTAATTTGTCTTGATAAATTCAGAAAGTTGCAAAGAAAAATGTAAGCCTTATCTTCTGACTTAAAGTTCTTACTGTAAATCTATCCTGAGTAACAATCTAGCAAGTGTTTATTAAACATGTACCATTTCTCTTGTCTGAGTTTCACCTTTTCCTTGGGGTCTAACTCATCTTTCACATACCACAACCTTAAAGGACATTTTGCCTGTCTCTAAACTCCAGTCTCATATAAACTAAAAACTTTGCATTCTCCCCTTAGTACAGCTACAACAGCAGAGATTATTCTAAATAGTCCCTACTGAAAGACAAAAAAAAAACCCTCTAAATAAAAATACCATAGCATAAAAAATGTGAGGTCATAAAGTTCCAATTTTTGGTCTCACTATTGTAGCCCAGGCTGGCCTTGAACCTGTAGCGATCCTTCTGCCTCAGCCTTCTGAGTGCTGGGGAGCGCTGGGATTACAGGCATGCACCACCATGCCGTCTCCCTCTCACTTCTTATGTTGCATCCAGACTCGCCTTCTCTACACCTTGAATCATTCACACTTAATACTCTCTAGACTGTTTGTTTCCTTGTTCTTCCCAAAGCTTGCACCTTCTTTGCATACAGGTGTTAGGTCAAATGTCATCAGACAGACGACTTTCCTGACTGTTTTTCATACATTCTATCTGAGCCACTGTCACAGCAATGTCTTTTCTTTTCTTTGGAGCACTTAATAATCTCTGAAACTATAACCAGGCTCTTTCTTCTAAAAATGTGAGCCCCAGTAGAGCAGCCAACTAATAAATTAGTTTTACCATGAAAATACAGATACAAGGGGTAATGGAACTCTGGTGCAGTTTAAGATGTCATGAAAAAAGCCCCTCTAAACTGGACAGGATGGCACATGCAGGTAATTCCAGTGCTTGGGTGGCTGAGGCAGGAGGACTGCTGTGAGTTGGAGGCCAGCAAGATCCTGTCTCAAAAACCAAACAAACAAAATAAAACAAAAAAAAGCCTCTCTAAAGTAGTATAAAAGAAAGTATGAAAGTAAAGTTTAAATGGTGAAGGTAAGGAGTTCACATAGGAAATAATGTTCAAAATTCAGGAAGTAAAATAAGACATGGAATATTCAAAGCACTGCAGCTCACAGTTAAGGGACAACATCAGAAGGGAGAGGAAGGAGAAGAAACTGAAGGTTTAAACACAAACAGATCACATAATGCTTTGAAGGATTCCATTCATTATCCTAAGGGCAGTCAGAGGTGTGTAGATTTTTAAGACAAGTGACAAGATCAATTTGCACTTCTGTTAACTCAGAAGTATCAAGAAGCACGGGCTGGAGAACAAGACTAAAAGAAAAGACGACATGTTGGTCCAGGGAAATAACAGCAACAACCTGGCACAAGGTTAAAAAGGTGTAGAAAAACATATGGTTTTAAGAGATACTTAAAATACAGAAATGCAGGCATTAAGGGAAAGGAGGAACTCAAAATGACCCCTTGGTTCAGCCTCCACAAATCTGAGACCCGAGACACAGAAAAAAGAAACAACTGAGGGACTGAGCCACTTACACTCCCTTCCAATTCCTAGGTACCTAATAAGGATTAGGAATATTGCTGCGGGATACAAGATTGTGTTTCTCCATTCAAAGCCAACTGTGGCTCACAGTGCAAGACAGAAAACATCTCTTCATAGCTGGATCTACCAGAAGCATCTTGTCAAGCATCATTCTGGAAAACCTAGGTTAGTCCAGTAAAGAAAAAGACTACTTCTCTTGCAAGATTGGCTTTCTTGCCAATCTCGAGAGACTGAGACATTCCGTTCTCTCTGAACCCACTACTTCTTCGACAAATTCCCAAACAGCAAAACTACATACATATCTTTCCTGGACAGTGAACTCCTCCAAGCTGGGCAATTTCTTGTACTGTGTTACTCCCAGCACCTAGAGCAGTCGCCAGCACATACAGATACCAGTAAAAACAAGTGAATGAAACAGCCAACAAATGCCTCCTACATTCTCCCAATCCAGAATATCGCATTCCAGGCCTCGGGACCTCGACGTCCTTACTTACACACACACACACACACACACACACACACACAGACCCCGTGCTTGCGCACACACACACACACAGACCCCGAGCTTGCACACAGGCCCCGAACTTACACAAACACACACGCACACACACACACCCCGAGCTTGCCTGTGTTACGAACTCCGCGTTGATCTGGGACACAGTAGGCGCCACGATTTTCTTGGGCTGCGCAGGGGTCGCCATCGCTGCACTCTCCTGCTCCGGGGGAAAATGAAAGCACCGCCAGGCAGCGGGGACCCAGTGCACTCGTAAGTACCACCGGCCGCACAGACGCACCAAGATCCCGAGGGCAGAGACGTCCAAGGCCTTCACAGTCCCACCAACAACCAGTGCAGCCTTGCGCGCCTCTCGTCTCCCGGAAGCGGAACAGAGCGGGGCCGGAAGTCAGGGCGGACTCTGAGGCTGAGCTAGGAGGCCCAGGGCTTCACCCTCCTCCCTTGCTCGCCCCCTGCCGGTTAGCCGGAAGAAAACACTCAGAGCGCAGGATGGGGTCACAGGAAAGGGCCAGGCTGATGGTGCGTTGGACTAGGATTTCTTGTGGTTAGTGAAAGGTGGGGGCCGGAAGAGTGGAGATTTGTGGTTTCTTTTAACTCTAAAGGAAACAGTGGTGTTAAAAAAAAAATCACTAGGAATTCGAGGCTGTTTTAACCCTTTAACAGCTTTATGGAGGTACAATTGATATAAATTACACGTTTAGTGTACAATTTGATGGTTTTGACATAATTATACATCCATGAAACTATCACTAAAATAATAATGATCATACCCATGCTACTAAGTTTCCACGTGCCCTTCATCATGCCTACACCCCATCCTTTCTGTTGCTATAATTTGCTTTTTACAGAACTTTATATAAATGAAATATCACAATATGTACCTTTCTTCTTTCACCCACCAAAATAATTTTGAGATTTGCCAATAATTTTGCATGTATCATTCATTCATTCATTCATTTTATGGCTGACTAGTATCCAATTTTTAGACATACCACAGTTTGTTAATGTGTTCATGGACCTTCATGTTCTTCCTAGTTCTTGCTCATTGCAAATAAGGCTTCTATGAGCATTTCTGTATAAGTATTTATGTGGACACATTAAGTAAATTCCTAGAAGTGAAATGAGTAGGTGATATGACAGGTGCATGTTTAACTTTTTAAGAACTTGACAGATTTTCAAATTGTACATCAGTAACAGATGAAAAATGTAGTTTTTTCTCATCCTCCACAACAATATGGTCAGTTTTTAAAATCTTAGCCATTTTCATAGTATGTGATGTACTTCATTGTAGCTTAATTTACATTTCTCTAATGACTAAAAATGTTGGTTTTGTGCTGTTCATGTATTGCCTTTAGAGAAGTATCTGTTCATATTTATTTGCTTGTTTCTTAATTGGATTGCTTGGTTTTTTTCCTCAATTGAATGCATACCCTTACTGTTCACAAATTGATATATAGATTAAGCATCACTAATAAATGCTTCTTGACAAAATAAAAGCAGGAGGAGGAAGAGAGAGCAGAAAACAAGAATGAGGGTGGCTTATTGTACATAATTTTGTATGTATATATTGAATATATTTTTGAGAATATATATATATGATGCTCAATCAAAAACAATGTGAAAGAAGAAACAATGTGTCTATATGCATGGAGATTATAAATGTACTCCCTTTTCCTCTATGTTCTGTTGTATAGTTTGTTTATAGAATGGACATGTGGATCAATGGAACAGACTAGAGAATACAGAAACATCCTCAGCCACATTCAGCTATTTATCTTTGATGAAGGGGCCAATATCATGTATTGATGGAAAGATAGTCTATTCAACAAATGGTGCTGGGAAAACTGGTATTTGTTTGCAGAAGATTAAAGCTCGACCCATATCTATCAATATGTTATAAACTAAAATCAAAATGAGTCAAAGATCTAAAATTAAAGCAGAAACATTGAGCCTACTGGGACATAAAATAGGTAAAACATTTGAAGTAATAGATGTGGGAAAGCATTTTCTAAATAAAACCTCAATTACACAAGAAAGAGCAGAAAGAAGCAACAAGTGGGATTACATCAAATTTAAAAGCTTTTGCACAGCAAAGGAATCCATAAAGAGATAATCTACAGAATGGGAAAAGAATTTCTGCCAGGTATTCCTCAGAGGACTAATATCTAGAATATATAAAATAGGAGATACTATACAGTACATTATAGAGACATTGTATTATACAAGGGGATTAAAATGCAAATTAAAACAATTCTAAGATTCCATCTCATATCAGAAAGAATGTCAATCATCAAGAAGTCAAAGAATAAGAAATACTGATATAGCTATAGTGCAAAAGGAACCCTCCTACATTGTTGAGTGAGGATGTAAACTAATATAACCATTACAGAAATCAGTATGGAGATTTCTCAAAGAACTAAAATTAGAAATTCCATATGACCCAGCTATTCCCCTTCTAGCTATCTTTCCTAAAGAGCTAAAGACATCATACTATAGTGATAAAGTATATCAATGCTTATAGTAGCACAGTTCATAGTAGCTAAATCCTAGAAACAAGCCTGGATGCCCATCAACAGAAGAATGGACAAAGAAAATGTGTTATCTATACACTATGTAATACTATTTGGCTATAAAGAGGATAAGTTTGAGATATTTGTGCAAAAATGGATGCACCTGCAAAATATAATGTTGAGTGAAATAAATAAGACCCACAGCTTAAATACTGTATAGTATCTCTCATTTCAGGAAGCAAAATACAAAAAGCACAATAAAAGATGGATAGAAGGAAACAAAGGGATAGATCTCTTGCAAATGGGAAGAGGTCCAGGAGACCAAGGGTGAGGGGAAAGGGGAAGAGAAAGGAGTATAAGAAATAATATATGCCATGTATAGGAACCTAATAACCTCAGTGAACATAAACATGGTTATAAACATGAGCTAAGAATAATAATAAAAATGGAGAAAGGTTATTTAGAGGTGGAGGAAGGAAAACGGGTGGGAAAGGGGATTAATAAAAGCTGTATTATGTATTTGTACCTACTTTCCAAGATGAATGCAAACTTTGTGTACTGAGAACATGTACTAATAAAACTTGTAAAAGTTTGTTTACAGGGCTAGAGATAAAAATTTGCATGATCAAAAAATTGTAGGATCACAATTTTAAATGTAACAGATTTTTAGTATATAACTATTAGCATTTTCTTTCCAAACGTAGAATCTATAAACAGTAAAACAAGATTTTCTAATAGTTTTAATGATAACTCCAGACACATGAACATATTTTGACAAGGAGAAACCACAACGATTGTGTTTCTAATCTGTGCTAGTTATAGGATAAAGGTTTGGAAGCAGGTAATGCTGGGGGAAAGTTAGTAGAAAGTGAGGGTTGAGGTAATGAAAGCCTTGAAAGCTAGGGAGCAGAAACTGTCTTTATTGTAAAATATAATGGGAAACCACTGAGTGAAGGGTACTTTTAGATAATGAATTTTCAGTGGGATTTAGAGGTTAAAGTAGGTAACATGAGGATGGGAATCCCAGCTGGGAAACAACTGAAAATTTAAGACCAAAGTTAAAACTCTCAAATTTGTGTTCTGGCAGTAAAAATTAAAAGAATAAATGTCGAACACCTTAAAGAGATAAAATGGGACATTTCTAAGTAGGAATGATAGAACCCTAAAAGCACATGGAAAAGAGAGGGGGTAGAGTAGGTTTTGAGGGGAAAATAATTCCATTATATAGAGGAAAAAGAGGAAATGGGACAAGGTCCAGGTGGTGATAAAGTTTATTTTCCAATTTACATATTTATTAAATTCATAATTTATCTTTTGATCTTGTGGTCGAGTATGAATTCCAGGTCATACATAGCTTTCTAGTGCTCTATGTGAATGTCTAATTTATAATACCTAGCAGATTTATGACAAAATGCATATGGTGATCTGTATCTGTCTACATCTACTTATCTTCTTATCACTTCTCTTAGCTAAGTTTTTGGCTGATGATATTGGACATTTTAAAATTATGATGTGCATTTTATACTTTTTCATTTATTTCACAAGCTTTCTACACTGTTTTGTTTAGAAAGCTAAAAAATTGAGGAGTCAAGAGGGCTTCAAAAGGTAAGACTAGCAATAGTATCAAATGCTTCAAAGAAATCTAAAAGGACAAAAATTTCATACAGATCATAATTTTGGAAATTAGACCATTGATGACCATTATTATGTAGATTATTTTAAGAAAAAAAATTCATTAAAATTGACTTAAAATAAAATCTATAGGTGTAAACACATAAAGTCAAGTGACAAGTTAGGTTTCAGGCAGTTAACTTTCCAGCTCCATTTCTGAGTTCTTGCGGGGAAGAAGGCTTTGCTCCTCACTCATTCCCTTGGGGGGTGTGCCCTCATCAGATGGGCATGCCTCATGGTACCAAAGGGCAGAGAGATTCCACATATCATTTTTCCCAAATTTATCACTGAAATAAGTATAGGTTTCACTCTCATCATCTCAGCTTAGTCAGTTTTTATCCATGAGCCAATTTGTCTTGGCTCAAACCTGGGTTATTTATTCCTGAATAGTTAGGGAGATAGGAATATTCCCAAGGTGAACTCCACAGATCAGCCACCTTTGCTCCTTCCACAATTGTACCCCCATCTATTTTGTACCATTATCCAAATATAAATGTATACAGTGTGTGAGGACATCTTGATTTTAATTTTATTTTTATTTATTTATATTTTGTCTTTTTGAGACAGGGTCTCACCATGCAGTTCAGGCTGGCCTTGAGCTCACTTTGTAGCCCACGCTGGTCTTGAACTCACAACGATCCTCCTGCCTCAGCCTCCCGGAGTGCTGGGATTACAGGCATGTCCCACCACACCCTGCTTGATTTTTATTTTGTGATGACTTTTAGGCTTATTCTAGAAATCTGTGCTGCCTGTATTGTGTTGGTCTTTTCTATAGTACTTTTTTTTAAATATAAAGAGCAAATTCAAAATAATGTAAAAAGTTTATAATTACTTCATGTTAATTTCTTCCTTCATACATTGAACAGACTAACTCAGCTAAGTATCTTCTTTCAGTAGAATGTGAGTCTGTGTCTAATTTCAATTGATACTAGGAATATAAAAGACCAAAAAATTTCAACAAGAACAGTACTTTTTGAGAAACAAATTCCATATTTTTTTAGTACAAATCTGGAAAGCAAGACCAAAGAGAAGGATGGATTAATGGACACACAGACTGATCATGTGATGTGCAATAGAGTTAACACATTCTTTGGTAGGTGACAAGTCACTATCAAATAAATGTAAATAAGGAAGTAAATTTTTAAATATCCATGGAAGTTCAGTATGAGAGGTGTACTGCAGTGGGCCTATGGAAATGTTGGACAATCAGTCAGTACCTTGTTGCAATAATGTGACTTTGCTTTAAAAAAAAAAAGTATAAATTGTGTAACTTGAAACTTTCTCAAAGTACTGCACTGAGAGATTTGTTTTTCAAGAATTTAATCCACCATCCACTTCCCATCAGCACATACATTTTTATCGTAAAATTTTCTACCCTATTGCAGTTCAAAACAAACACCAGTAATTCTACTAACACAGCTAATCAAACTCTTCCAGTAAATAATTTTCCCACAGCCTGGAATCACCCAAACAAAAAATTCTACTTCTCTTCAATTATAAAGTTTATTTTTCCAGAAAACCAAAGTAATTGATTCAACAACACTAACAGGTCTAGCATGCAGCAAACCGTCTTTTAACATTCATTTCATCTTTTTAACATGAATTCATATTTTATTTTTGCTTCTACAAAGTTTCCATAAGAAGCTTGCAAGATAATAAAGGTAAGTAAGTATTTGTTACAGGTACTTCAAATAGCACTACAGTACATTTTTGACAAAATTTTTTACAATATACCAACTTTCAATATGAAACAGCTTAAAAAGGCATGGACCAAAAAAAAAAAAAAGTATAGTAGTATCACTTAGGCAAATAAAGTCAGAGTCATACAAGCACAACAATCAGAACTCTCCCTGTTTAGGTTGCAAAAGGAGTATGTGAAATATTTCCTCCAAGTAAACTTTTATAATAACTTAGGGAAATATCAAAAGCCATAATTTCAGGCATGCTAATGAAGTAACTCTTGAACTTTTATTCTAAGAAAATAATAAGCTAGTTACTCCTTGCTTTTATGTAATAGATGTGTTCTTGAAGTTTTGGGTAAAGCAAATTTTGTAAACCATATCTTGCTTACACTAAAGAAACATATTTCGAACAACGTATGCTCTAAAGCATGTAATTTTCTTCTGCTTCAGCTGGATGTCTCTCCTTAAAATATAGGCACATTTATACATCATTGGATATTTTTCTCATACTATCATATTTCATCTCTATAAATTAAACTCAAGTTACATAAAACTCACTTGTGGTTAAAGACAACCAAAGCCCCACCCTCCCCCATGGCAGATCTTCTAATACAATGCAAACTTAGTTATTCACTTATCCACATTCTCAATAGAGGGCTTTCCACCATATTTAAATGTACTAAGATAAATACCCATCTGCTTTTCTTTATACTTTAGAAACTTCTTTTATTGCTACAAAATGTCATTCCTAAAGATTTTACAAATACTGCCAAATATGAAGGACAATGTATGAATATGAAATATGTCCCTCATAATTTAGGATTACATCTTTCCCAAATTATCACAATTCTGTCTAGTTATACTTTCAACTCTGTAGGTATCTTATTCCTATATAGAGCAATGATTATTTTACTAGTTAAAATTAAAAGGTGATCAAAGTAACATTCATTAGCATTAGCATGCTGCAGAATCACAGAGGAATGAAAACTGAAACTACATATGGTCACTGGCATTTCATCAACCTTAGTAGATCAACCTTAAGTTGAAGGACCACTGAAAGAGGCATTAAAACAAAGTCTTACTAAAAAGTAAATGTCTTATGGATATAGTCTTCAAGCTGAGTCTTGTTTATGACTACTGGTGTCAACCACTGTATTAACAAGTAAATAAATGAATTGCCTTCATCCATCTGAAAAGATGAAACTGCATATATGAAAAGATTATGGCACCTGAAAAATATTCCTGATAAGTAAACACAAATGTATGTAGGTGCATCCTAGCTTCTTTTATGTTCTTTTGGGGAAATCAATACCACCCTGGGTTAAAAATAAAATCAAATCTTCATCACCTGAGCAACTGAAGGTAAAATTACCACATAATCCTAAAAATGGTTTTGAAAAGACCAATGAAAATAATGCCATAACTTTCTGCTCATATCCCATACTTACTAGTTTTTAAGATTGCAAGAAAAATCTTATAATAAAATGAGCCACGTTGGACAAATTATTCTTTAATGTAAAATAAGTGAACTATAAATGCTATTTACTGTAGCTAAAGGGCATTTTTTTCTGTCTTTTAAGTATGTGTATCTAAAGAAATGGCATAGCTCAAGGAATAATTTCTTTTAAAAATGTATCTGAACTGCTTGTACAGGATCATGGATTTGTAACTTCAATACAGCCAAAACAATTGCTTAGTATCAACTTATGCTCTTCCAAAAATTAATTTGGCTGCTCCTAAAACATTGTATTAATTTCCTTTATATCTGACCACAGGACAAGCAATTTCCCATGAAATTATTCAATCTAATGCAGGTCTTTAAAAAATGTTTAAATGATACAAGACCAGCAGAGACTACAAATGTTAGTGGTTTCCACAGTTACATAACCGAATCTAATACAACTACATTGTCTTGTGGCTGTTCTTTAAAGTGAGTGAGTTGATGCCTCTTCCAGTGAGGAGCCTGTCTGAATGTTTTGCCACAAACTGAGCATTCAAATGGTTTCTGACCTGCATGGATTAGATAGTGTCTTTCCAATTTAGATGGAGATCGGAAATTTTTACAGCAAACACTGCATTGGTAAAGGAGGCCATCATTTCTCTCAGGGTCCCCTGAATAACTAAAACAATGATGGCTTTGATCGGATTCCAAAAGTGCCTCAGAGAGATAGGGCTGCCGATTTCTATAGTAGGTACCGAGAATAAAATCCTCAGCTTCTGTCTTAACTTCTATTTCTGATGTTTGATCTGACTCTGAATCATATTTTTGAAAACCAAGACCCTGACATTGTTGGGAAGCACTATAGTCAGCATTATCACTTGGATGAATGCAAAGTTTGTTCACATTTCCAAATTCTACTTGGCAAAGAGATCTTCTATAAGGACTCTTTTCAATATGAGTTAGTTTATGTCTTTTTAAGTGAGCTGACTGCCTAAAAGATTTCCCACAAACATTACAGCCAAAAGGCCTTTGTCCAGTATGAATTAAATAGTGTCTTTGTAGTTTGGATATAGAAGGAAATACTTTCTCACATTTATCACAGGGACACATTTTATGTCCAGTATGTATGTTTTCACTTGGAACTGGAAAATCACACTGAAGCACTTCACAGTTACTTAAGAATTCCTCGGTGGATGAACCATAGACTGACAAGTCTTTATTATTCACTGAGCTATCTATACTTAATATGCTTTCTGCTGTAAGGATACCTTTCAAATTTTTTCCCATATTTTGGGTCTGCAATTGCTTTTGCCAAGAAAATGGCAAAGTTAATGTTTTCTTTTTTTTATTGCCAACTGTCTTATACGTTCCATGTTTGCCAAGAGAACCCATAAATCTTCTCTGAGTTTGTTCGGAGTTCTGCCCGCTAGAAATCAGATCACAAGTTTTCAAGAAACTATGTTTATGTGCTTTTTTTTCTGAGCGAAAGTTATCTAATTTTTTGCCCCCAGCACGTTTAAGTTTGGCCAAGATCTTTTTAACAATAGTTTTATAGTTGTAGCTTCTTTTGAGTCTGCTTGGAATTTTGCCTCCTCTGGCAGGAAAACACTTGTGTCCATTGAGAATCTCTTCTGATTCAAAACATTCTTCACACTCTGAACACTGAAAAGGGACAATATAAATGGAGTGGACATCAAGTGGATTATTCTCCTCAGATTTATCCATATCACCATTTTCAAAACCATCCTGCTTTACATTTAATTTATTAGGCAAAGGGCATGATTCTGGACTCTTCACCTTTAATGAAAGAGTCTGAAAAGTCTTATTCCTAGTATGGATTTGTTTATGCTTCAGAAGTTTGCTTTGAATCTTAAATCCTTTTTGACAAAAACAACATTGAAAAGGTCTTTCTTCTGAATGTGTGAGTTGGTGAATTTTTAAATGAGTTGACTGTCGGAAAGATTTACTGCACAGGACACATTTAAAAGGCCTCTGGCCAGTGTGAATAAGTGCATGCCTGTCAAGTTTTGATTGTGACGGAAACATCTTGCCACAGATTGTACATGCATGAATATTCTTTCTCTTCGTAGTGCCATAGGTGGGATCCGACTTAGAGCACGGGTGTAATGCCCATCTCTCCTCTGTAGTAAAAGTATTATACACTCCATGCACTGGCTCTTGTTTGGCCTCCAGCAGTTTTCTGACTTGCTTAACGTCACTCTGATAGGTTTCATTGTGAAATTGCTGGTGTTTCACAAATGTCTTCAGATTTTTAAAGTGGCGTTGACAAATACTGCATTTAAAAGGCAGCCTGTGAGTTAGTTGATGCCTTTCCAGATGAACTAGTTGCCTAAAGGTTTTATGACACACATCACATTCAAATGGTTTTTGACCAGTATGAATGAGATAATGCCTGGCTAATTTTGACGGTGTTTCAAAGTGCTTGAAGCAAATATTGCAAATATATGGCCTGTTTCTAGGTAGTTTACTGGCTACTACACGCTGCTGAATCTTTAGCATTTTAAAATTGTTTTCAGCCATCATATTCTTCAGTGATACACTTTGATGAGCTCCATATTGTCTTTAAATTCCAGAGATATCTAAAAATTAAAAAGAAGTATTAATTTACAAATTATTCATATAAAAAAAATTAAGCTGTCCTTTGGCTGAAGATATTTAAAGTTAATGGAGACTCTGGACATACTTTGTGTTTATAAGTAAACTAACAATTATTTTAGATCAATTCATTAGAACCATGAAACTACTTTCACACATAAAGAGGTATGATGAGTATAGCAGACACCTAAAAATGTATGTAATTTTAAGCTATTTTTCTACCTGAGAAGCTACATTAAAGGGGACTGAGTTAAATTTCCTAACATTAAATAGACTTTTTGATTCCAGCTTTCCTATTTCATTAGATTTGTCAATATTTACTTGTCTTGTCATTTTAAAAAAAAATAGGCTAGAAAAGTAAAATGTGTTGAGAAATGAAATATAATATGAAAAATAAGATGTATTTTCATTCAATTATAGCATAGATTGTAGACATCTCTGAGAATGGAAAGTTTTACTTATCCAAATTAGAGGTCTCTTAGCTACAATAACACTATTTACTCTCAATTACTTCCTTATGTGAACAAATTCAACTAGAAGAAAATTCCAAAGACCCAAGTTTTCGTCCTAGATTTATCACCACATAATCTTGGTGGTGGGAAGAAAGAAATACAGATTCCCCACCTGTAAAAAGGGAGAATGTCACTTGGACTACCTACTTCACCAAGCTGCTGTGCAAATCAACAGAGATAATGCATTTAAATAACCTTACATCATACATTGCTTGCAGACTGTGAGACAGTGTACACAATGTAAGTCATTATTTAGCTAAACACTAATCAAATCTAAAATTTTATTCCTGTTTAATAATATATTTTAGGGTTTTTAAGAGATAAACCTATTGACTAAAGTTCTTTTTATTTCTCCTTTCTACTTTGTTGTAGTGTTGTGTGTGTGTGTGTATATGTGGACTTCTTGAGGAAAAAACCCCAACAAAACAGAGAAAAATGAGGTTGACAAGTTGCATACTTATTTATGAATATGTTGAGTATGACATTTTTCAGGCAACATAATAAAAGGTTCATTTTGGTCTTAGGCATTAACATAAAGATAAAAATAACTTCTCTGTATGCCTCTGTAAGACACACACAAAAGTTTAACAGGTACTTGTACAACCATCTTATACACTATGTTCTTTTTTTTAAAGAAGAGTTAGGGCTGGGGATTTAGCTCAGTGGCAAAAGTGCCTGCCCGGCAAGCGCAAGGTCGTGAGTTCGGTTCCTGGTACAGGAGAAAGCCCCCCCCCCCAAAAAAAAGAAGAGTTGATTTTCTCCTCTTTCTTCTTTTATTGAACTGCCCTTAAATAAGGCAGATATTTTAAAAGAAAAAGGACAGCTACACCAACCCTCTCCTTCAAATGTTTCTTGTAGTTGAGATAAAAAAAATAAATAAAAATAAAAACAATTGATAACCAGGAACTCAGAGTTCTTTGGCAGATGATTTAGCAAACAACCAACACATATCTTAGTATCTATCTTCTCCTAGAAGATACCTTAAACACAGAATCAAATACTGTACTATACATATACTGTGGTTTTCTTCAACAAACAGGGTTATAAACAGAAAAAAGTTAAGCAAGTATTTTCTACTAGTTGCTTTATCATAGTGCCTTTTAAACTGCAGGTTAGTATTCATTATTGAACTATTAAGTTAAAACTTAGTGGATCATGAACAGCATTTTGTTTAATAAAATAAAGTTGAAAATGTCAGAATACATACCATATAGCAAGGGTAAATACTGTTTTATGAGACTTGTTTAGAAAAAAATAGTTAAAAATATTTTGTGAAAGATATTCCTAACATACCTTTTGACACAGAGGAATCTACAATAAACTCAACTTCCTATTTACAGTGGCCAAGTAATCTATTAGGTGATAAACACCATGGGCATCTGTGTCCAGTTTTTTAGTATTTGTATTACTCCAAAATATTTACTTAAAAATCATCTAAGAGAGGCCAAATGGAAAATGTGCCACACAAATACATGCAAAATATGACCATAAGCTATTGTATTAATTTATGAAACACAACATATAAAACAGCAACAATCAACAACCATAGCAACAATTATCCATTAAGGCCATGAATATCCATTTTCACTACACTGTACTACAGAATGCCAGAATTACAAGTGAATAGCCTCTAAAAAGCCTAAACATGCTGTACAGAGCAAAAGTCATAAGGAATAGGATTAAATAAAAAATACAGTGAGCATCTAAGAACTCAGCAATTTATCTAATTCTTGTTGGACAATTTATTTAATTCCTGTTGAGCAACTAGGTGTCAAGGCGCCAATCAGAACAATGAGCCAAACTGAAAGTAATAATCAAGCTTTTATTCACTTATGCAACACAGTAAGCAAGAAGCAAAAAGATACACTGGCTGGCTCCCTAGTGGTCCATTAAACAGGACACTAGGTGAGGGTTAAGTGGATGTATGTGCACAGGAGGGGATACTCTTGCCAAGGAGGTCCTAACAAAAGGTTCCTACCCTTTATGGACCCTTTGGCCCCTTTGGGCCAGAAAAGGGAAGGTGAAGGCTTATGGGTAAAAAGAACCTGAGTTAAAAATGGAGAAAAGTGCTTCAACTAGGGTGCTGTGGGAGGAACTCCAAATGAGACAGCTGGGCCAGGAAACAAGTTACAGAGTAAGCATGGCTAGCAACAGGGGAGAGGAGTCTGTTACTGCAACTCCCTCCAGAAAACTGCAAAGACCTGGCCATGCACCAAGTCTGGTAGCGGAGGGAGCTTCCCCGCATAAGGCCAGGGAGGCAAAGCCTAGTAATTAAGGTCAGTCCATAGGATTTTGGACTGGAGCTGGTCTTCTCAATTCTTTTGTATACTTCTCCTTCCACTTTATAACTGTTTGGGGGGACCACACTCCCCCACAAAAAATCCACACTAGAACCACACAAGACAATCTCTGATTACAACAGGGGCTGGCTACAGGTTCTTAGGCCAAAACAGATCTGCAATTGATCGCCCATCATCAGGACTAAGACTGAATTCTATTGTCACTTGCCTCCCTATTAGTAAGAAAACACTTCCTGGGAGTCCTATACTGTTAGAATCATTGGTAGCAAGTGGTGATCTCATCTCCTATTTATAAGCGAAAGGTCAGGAATTTCCACACTCCAAGTGTAATCCCCAATGTTCTTATACAGGCGTGCACACAAGGCTCTACATCCCATTACAAACGACTTTTCTGTTCTCTCCACTGAGTTTTCTGCGTGGACAACATTTTTTTAAAAAGCAAGCTAAGACTGGATAATTTTTATGTTAAACTGAAATAAAAATAAAGCTGACCTCAATAAAATCCAATGTCACTCAAAGGTTGAAACCCTGATTTTTGTCTTACCTAACACCAGCAAAAAGATGTGAGAATACTAAAAAAAGTAAATAGACCTGAGACAAGCGCAGACTCAGTTGGGGAATAATCTCTGATGCACTTACCATAGCCTTTGCCTGTTCTCCGCTTGTTCTGCCACTTCCCTTGGCCCACTCTCGGCCCCCCAACACTAAACAAAGGACCCTGACATCAGACAACTAGCGCTTGGCCTAACAGCTCACGATCAATGAACACCTAGCGGGTGGAGCAGAGTCTGGAGACCACACCATCCCACGCCAGGTGAACTCCTTTGACGGTAGTTAAATGAGCGAGAGAGAGAGGAAAAAAAAAAAAAAGCCGTAAGTATTGTAAGAACCACAGAGGGAGAAAAGCCTTCTTTCAGTCTTCTTTTTAGAGATCCCGCTCCCCGTGAGACAGGCCAGAAACTGGGAAGTGGATGGGAACGAAAAAAATGCTAAGTGGAGCTGAGGTCGTAGCACCCCTGTCCCGGGTCCCCCGGCACCTCAGCGGGATTGAAGCCGACCTGACTCTCCCTGGAGGTCACTCCACCTCGCCCTCAGGTTCCTGAAGGCCTCCGCATGCACCTGAAGCTGGCAAGGCCGGGCCGCTGCACACATCAGGGCCACAGAGCCGCGAAGGCACCGAGCTCGTCCGCAGGGTCGGCGCGGCGACTGGCTGAGCGCGCAGGCGCGGCGTTTGGGAGCCCCGGGAATAGGGTCCGACTAGAAACAAGGTCCTGGCATCTCAGGGCCGTAGTCGCCTCCGTGAAACCTGTGGGTCCCTGAGGACAGGAACTGCAGAGGCCTTGCTCTGGCTCTTTCATTCGATATATTTTGGAGGTCTACAAGGTACTGTACAAAGCCCTGTGCGCCACTTCTGAATTTCTTCAGGCTGCTCTGACAAATGCGTGTACAATTCTCAACATAATCACTCGTGCAAAATAGGCCATCAAAGAGCTGTTACCACTTATTATTTACTGTTTTTAACACTTTGAACAGGATCCTATTTTAAGATGGGAAAGTGAAGCTTAGAGATGTTAAGGAACCTAACGTCACACAACTCATAAAATTAAAGGTGGAATTTGAACCCAAGTAGTCTTAAAACCAGACCTGTGCTTTCAATTCACTACTGCCTCCCAAATTACAAATATTTTAACATTTTATGCAGACACAACTAAGGAGAAACAGGAGAAAATGGCTCATGGGGAATAACCTTTTTGCTTCTCATGTAGGAACCTCAGAGGAGTCAGAGTTGAGAAGGGTTAAAGTTGCTTATTCCACCTGAAGAAGGAAAGAGACAAACTTTGAGTGTCCTGAATGCTAATCCCAAGGTACAGACTTGCTTCATTGTCTCTTCAGCTTAGTCAAATCATGCAGACAGTTGCATCCATCACCAGCCATCATCATCCATCACCATAAATCCTTAAGCGAGTAACCCAGATTCTGAGAGAAGGCTACCCAAAATTGCAGACCAGTGGAGGGTGAGATTAGTTCTTTATTCATTACCTGCAAAACAAATAGACCTTTCCACCAAGAGCCTCTCCACAACCACACACTTTTCATGGTGTCCTTTCCCATTTACCCGGACAGTAAACTTGGGAGCTTCCTGCAAAAAAAGAAAGATATTAATTTAAATAAGAGTCATGGAGGAAGGTTTCATTGTATGGTGAGATTTGAACTTGTAAGCAGAATATGGATACATAGAAAATGTGGGGACAGGACAGAACATGGGAGCAAACGTGTAGGATGGAATAAAGGTAATTTGTCAAGAAAACATAAAAGGAAAGGCATGATACATGTTTGCACTCGTAGCTTACTTCTTCTACCTATTACTTGTGTCCTTAGACATTATTTGCACTTTTTTTGAGCCTCAATTTTCTCATCTGTAAATTGGGGACATAAACATTCATTTATTAAATCATAACTATAGCAAACATGAAGGATTCAAAGATGAAGCAGCAAGGCCTTTGACCTTAAAGTAGTTTTCTGCTCACAGAAGAGAATATAAAAACAAGTACAGTATTGGAGACAACATGTACAGGATAGTATGGGACAAGAAAAATCTAAATCTGCCTGAGTGCTTCAGGTAAAGATGGGCTCTGAGCCCATTTAATCATGCATCCATCCTACATATATTTTATTCAGCATTTTTTTTGTGTGGCCAAATCCTATTTTAGGCACTGGAGAAAGCATAGTAAATAAATTGCAAAATTTAAAATATTTCTATCTTAGTAGAATTTATATCCTAATGAGAGAGGCAGATAGTAAATAAAATACATACTATGGTAAGTATTGCATTGAGGAGAAAAGGTAAATCATGGAAATGAACCATGGAGATTTGTAGGAAAGTACTGCTGCCATTCTAGATGGTCAGAGATGGCTTTACTAAGTTTTGAGACTTTTCAGTTGAAACCTGATGGATACAAGAGATCCAGTCCTGCCAATGGGAGGCAGTAGGAGAAAGGAGTATGGGGATTTTTTCATTGCCAATAAAGAAAGAGTCAGGAAAGGAAGATAGGAAGATAACATTTCACACAGATGACACAATGAAAGAGAGCATGATGGATAGGAAACAGTAATTTAGAATTGCTGGAGTGTGAAGAACTGCTTGGGATAGTAAGGGATAGAAGAGTTACTTACTAGAATGCCAGTAAGTGGAACAAATTCACCAGACTCTTCACAAAAGCTAGGAAAGACTTCATATAAAATCCCATTCTTTTATTCTTTCTATTTTTTCTCTATCATCAAAAATATTTATCTATTATGAAAGATAATTATACTTGAAAGCAGGCTACATTTGGTATCTTTTACATATATTTTGGAATATTGTAAAGGCAGGATTTGTGAACTTGAGTTTTAGTCTTGTTAAAAGCTCCCTCTTCCCTCAAGAGATAGGCCTGGCAGAGAGGTTACATCTGGCTCCATCCTACTTATCTAATTTTTTCTCTCTTCTCTTCCACCTGCCCTTATGGAAAAACAAAATAAGATCATATCCTTGTCTCCTGCAGATAGTCTACCAAAATCTGGACCCACTAGATGTCAGTGTCTATGCTCAAGCAATCATCAAAGAAATTTTCCAATAAAGACAACCATTCCTTTCTTAGAGAATTTTTGGCAAATAAGCCCTCTCCTTCCATCATATACTTCCTCAAGACAAAATATTTGCAGGACATTTTTCAACTACTTTGTACGTTTTTCTATATAACTTATGGGAGACTTGTCCCACAATACATCTACTAAATTTTTTGTATTTATTCCTCAGCTGATAGGCACTTAGTTTATTTCCATTTTTTGACTGTTTGTGAAGGGTGCTGCAATAAACATGGAAGTGCAGATGTCTCTTTGACATGCTTATTTCAATTTCTTTGGATATATACCCAGTCATGAGGTTGCTGGATCAGATAATAGATTTTTCTTTTAACTTCATTCTATTTCCCTATAATAATTTAAATTCCTACTAATAATCTATAAGTGCTCCCCTTTCTCTACTTTCTTACCATAATTTTTTATATTCTCTTTTTTATAATAATCATTCTAATTGGAGTAAGATAACTCATTGTAGTTTTGATTTGCATTTTCCTCATATTAGTGATGTTGAGAATGTTTCATATACCTGTTGGACATTTGTATGTCTTCTTTTGAGAAGCAATTCAAAAGATGTATTTTGTTCATTTTAATTGAATTATTTATGTGGATTTTAAAATTTTGCTCATTTTAATGGAATTATTTATGTGGATTTTAAAATTTTGTTTCTTCCCACCGAGTTGTTTGAACTCGTATGTCAGGGTACTACTTGGGTACCTGTTAGGGACTGAGTGCAGGGAAGGGGGGAGTGGTAAGTGAATGACACTTCATCTGTATTTATGGACACTCCGTCACTTGAATTACCACTTGAGTTCTGTTTTCTGTTAGATCAGTAGCAACATTATATTCCCATAGGAATGGGAATGATACAGGGGAAAGAAACTCCCAAACTGAAAGATATCTGGGACGAGTTCGTGTTCTCTAAAATCAAAGGGTGAATTTTAGGAACAATGGAGGTTAAGAGCAGAATATATTTATTGAGGAAAAGAAGGCTTCTGTCTAAGAGAGGGACAGAAGGGGACCTGAGTGGGTTGCCCTAGAACTTGTCTTTTTAAGGGACTTTCACAGAGCAAAACCACAAGGTGAGGCGGGTCCAAGGTGAGAGAAAATGGGAAATTACAAGGTAGGCATGAGGTGGGACAAAACTGTGGTCAACCAATAAGATTACAAGCATAATTGCTCAGGTAATCTTGATTATATCAGGATCAAATAGGGAAGCAAGTAATGTAGCAAGCAGGTAATAACACAGAACAAGGGTTTTTCCTGTAGGGGGCTGAGTTAGTGACTCTTTCTGACTTTCTCAAGGTGATAGAGACCTATTTAGAGTATCAATCCCTGGTGTTTATTCTTAGGGATGTATATGGGTATATTTGTTTTATCTTTGGTCTTGAGGTCTGCCCCACAGCAGGAGTGCCTGTCCCACAGTTGCAAGGTGTCTCATCTTTCATACTGGCTCCTTTGAGGTCCTAGCCATGTCTGACTGGTAAATAATATTTTTACCTAACTCAGCTGCCTACAACAGGAAGCCTGCTTTGAACTGCACATGAGAGGTGTCTAGATTGTATGCACCTTATGAGAATCCTATGTCTGATGACCTGACATGGAGCTGAAGTGGTGATGTTAGCACTGGGGAGTAGCTGTAGGTACAGGCTAAGATTAGTAGAGAGATTTGATTCATAGAGATCAGAATAAATCAGTGACTTGCAGATTCATACAAAACCCTATCAGTGATTGGCAGTGACGATTAAGATGCGTCTGGTGGCAGACTTCAAGTAAGAATTAGGCCTCATTTTATTCTATTCATGGCTTTCCCTTTATTTTACTTATCACTGCCATCCGCATGTCTTTCCCACATGTGCAGTTGTCTCAATCACAGTTTTGGTAGGCCCACAAACTGACTCTAGCTAAAATAAGTAAAAAACAAATATCACTGGAGAGTTTACTTGAGAAAGGGGGAAGGCCCAATGTGGAGACAGGAGAAGATTCTAAGAGGCCGACAAGAACAAAGCTGTATTGAAAATAAAATACTAAGATTCCTACTTAAATTACAGGTTCATTGCAACAGATGATTCACATTCTTCAAGCCTGCTTTGCATAATATTGTGGCAATCAGCTATTCAGTGAATCCCTGAAACTTTCAAAACTGATTTGTCATGAAGACCAAATATCTTGCATCATACTTACCTGGCAGGAGGACACCATGATCACCAAATATCCTGCATTAAAAGACAACCCTTTCAAAAGAAAAATAAAATCCATACATATGAAGAACAGAAGCAAATATCAAAGGCCACTACTTTATCAAATGTGTCTGCACTGAAAGCATCCATTTTAGCACCGAATCACATTGCTAAAGGTAAGAACATTTTTGCCACTGATGAAGAGATGATTCTGCCAGCTGACAAAAACAT